CCAATCGATGTGGCTGTATTTTGATATAAAGGCTATGTATTGGTCCAAATTTAATTAACACCACCTAAAAGTTCCACTTCGGCCAAGCTGTAGAGATTCTTGCATATAGTTTAACCAATCTATTTTTTCCTCCGTTTAATCTGCTTTTGTATGGGTTCCTGGTTCCTTAAGATCTACGTTATTTATGGTATTGGGCCAGAATATACTACATATAATACTCAGACATTTTCTTATGAATGCCTGTAGCTTTTGGGATACAAGCCAGGCTCACTGCTGTGTGGCTATTGATTACGACCGTTTCTGCACCACAACCGTTGTTACAGTTATTCCTAGATATCAAGTGTTATGGACGTAGCATGATATTTTCTGTACTGTTGTTAAATTTCTCTGGCTTATTTTTCTTAAAATTAACGTCAAGTCCAATGTAGCTTCTCAGTCTCTCCAGGTCTTCTAATATTTATTGCATATTGGATATCATGTGAGAAAGAAGACAGATATCATCCGCAAAATCTAAGTCTACGATTTATCGTGAAAGACTCTGCGAGCAGAATTTATTCATTATTACTTCAAGTGCAATTGTGAAAAGTAGGGGTGACAAAGCCTTATTTCCGATTTGGTGTGAAATTATTGTCTTATTTTTTTACGATTTATCGTGAAAGACTCTGCGAGCAGAATCCTTTCATTATTGCTTCAAGTGCAATTGTGAACATTAGGGGTGACAGAGTCTTATTTCCGATTTGGTGCGAAATGATTGTCTTATTTTTCAGTTTTTAAGAACTGAGTATTCTGCATCCTCGTACATCGTTCTTATAATACACATTATTTTCTGGGACACTTTCTTTTTTTCTCAATGCTTTCCATATGGCAGCTCGTCTGATTTTGCCGAAAGTTTTCCTGAGGTTGATGAACAGTAGATACAGTAGAATGTGCCATTCTATATATTGTTCCATTATGACTCGTATTGTGTTGTTCTGATCCCTACAGCTTCTATTTGATCTGAAGCAAGCATGCTTATCTCTTTGTATATTTTCTACTTGCATTTTTTTTTGTATTCGAATTTTTACATGGTGTTTAAGTCGCCATTTTTACAACGATACCTTACTTCCACGTTGGAGACAGTCTTTCTTCCTCCCAAACTGATATGATGTAAGGTCTATGTAAATAAGCTGCGTATCCGTGGTCGGTTTATAGGGAATACGATCTTCTTTTGCTGTTTCGTTACCTTTTAGTGAAGAGCAGGCAATCTTTCTTCCTGCCAAGCTGATATGATGTGCAGTGATAATCATTGTCTGTTATTAAACTACTATGAATATCTTTTATTGCATGTCTTGTAGTACATCTTCTATTTGTGAGATTATCTATTCTTCGGTATACCTTCATGTTGTTCTGGCTGGGAACTTCCAATGTAACTTATTATAAAATTGTGATTAATATAAATCCATTTATGTAACGAAATCTATTAGGAATATACGAATACGTGTTAACACAATGTATACGCCACATTATATGTATTTGATCTTTTAAATGACCTGGTGGCGTATACTTGGTGTCAACAAGTATACGTAAATTCCCAAAAGAGTTACGAGACCCCAACTTTAAATTGCAATAAATCCACTTCAGTATTTTGGAGTCACGTCGAAGATTTTTTGAGGTAATAGTACCTCACCTGTATGCCAACTTCTGCCGCTGCTCAGTTACTTGTTTGTTGTTGTTCTGTTGTCTCCTTTCTTTCGTTCAAATAATGTTCCATTGGACCGCTACTAGTAGATTTCCTTTTTTCTGTAGCATTTCTGAATTCAACGAAATATTTTCTCCATCTTTGAATTTGTGTATCATTGGTTTTTAGTAGCCTACCTGTGGAAAAAGTTTATTGTGGCGTATACTTGGTGTCAACACTTATTCGTAAATTCATAAAAGTGTCACGAGGCCCAATTTTAAAATTGGAATAAATGTAATTCAACAATAATAATTCAACTTTGGAGTAACGTCGAAGATTTTGTGAGGTCATAGTAACTGAGCTGTGGTTCTGTCGGCAGCTTTTAAAGCTTCGCCGGTAGACAATCTTCTCCTGCTGCTTTGTTACTTTTTGTTGTTGCTCAATTGCCTATTTTAATTCGCTCAAGCGGACAGAGTTACACGATATATTCAACGTATTTTCCACAGCTACTGTATATTTAATTGTTTTCAGTGACATTTCTGACGCTATTGATTTCTGTCCGCGTGTAAAATTTGAATTTGTTCATTATTGTTTGTTGTTACTCCACCATTCCGATATTTTATTGTTTGGCTCCTGGTACATCTTCGTGTAGCTTTCTCATGCTGTGCCAGCTCGTAGCTGCTTCTTCGGCTGTTTTTGACAGATTTTCTAGGAACTTTTTGGCAACTTATTAAAAAGTAGTAGTTAATATAAATAGTTTTCGAAACAAAAATTTCGAATACGTGTTGACACAACGTATACGCCATATTATCCGCTTTTGCAGTTTCAAATCGCCTATGGAACAAGCACATTGTGGCGTATACCTTGTGTCAACACATATTCGTAAATTTCCAGAACATTCACGAGACCCAAATTTAAATTGCAATGAATGTAATTTTGCATTTTCAAGTCACGTTAAAAATTGTGTGAGGTCGTAGTAACTCACCTGTGGTTCTGGCGTCGACATTTCGTGCTTTTGTCCGGAACGCATATTCTCCTGCTGCATAGTTTAGTTTTTTAGTCGTTCTATTGTCTCTTTCATTTCTTTCAAGTTTGACGGGTTACTCGATATATTCAGCGTATTTTCCATAGGATATCTATTGTACATTTCGATATTTTCATTTCGTTACAGATTCCCTCGAAATGTTCTCTCCATCTTTGAATTTGATCATAATTTTTTTAGTAGCCTATCACCTGAAACGATTTTTTAGGAATATACGTATAAGTTTTGACACAAAGTATACGCCACATTATTTGCGTTTGATGTTTTAAATAGCCTGGTACATTGTGACGTATACTTGGTGTCAACACGTATTCGTAAATTCTTCAAAGGGCCAAGAGTCCCAACTTTAAATATGACCTCCAAAAGAAAAATAGTGTTATGCTATTCTTGAATGCAATCCACCCTAATAAACTTTATAATCTTCGATCGTTATCATCTTTTTTCATATCCATATAGTGTATAGAATATATTGCGTATATATTTGTGTGCGTGTGTATTTGTGTGTTTGGAGTACAAAGAGGCTATTTCGGCCAAAAACACTTTTGGCCATTACGAACGTACATTTTTAAGGGCTATTGAGTTAATTTTTCTACTTGATTGCACTGGGGTGGTGGTGTGGGACAATGCACAAGTATCTCTCTTTACTACTGGCCTGGTCAGGACATCTATAGTCGAAGGAAGCTCCTTGCCATGTGGACAGTCTCGTCTAGTTAGTTTTCGAAGAATTTATGGAATTTATTTTTCGGATGAACTTGAAAAGAAGTATCCATTTAAGGCTAATGGTTTCAGAGATATATACACATACTAGACATCTGCATGAATGCACAAAAACACCACCCATGAGTCACTCACACAAAGTAATGGCTTCTATTCTATAAATTTGTTGGAAATGAAGTGCAATGAGTGAGGGTACAACAAACATGAATTGCTTCAGGTATGAGAGTTTCGAATTTGTTGTATATTCGTTGGATTCATACAATCCACGTTTCAAACTCGACGAACCGGTATTCATTGTGTATGTTTACTTCGGTATGAATGTATGTTGTAACACAAAAAGTTTGAACAAATGCGACAAGTTCGTACACGAACCTGTTTTACACAATGAGAGTGTCGAATTATTTAGTATTCGAATTACCCGAATTAATTGAAGATATTATGGTTTTTATACCATCTACAAAAGTATGAAGGGTATGTTATGTTTTTTTGTTTTCGTTTGTAACTCATCGAAATAATCATTTCCGCCCATTTAAAGTATATATATTCTTAATAAGAGCAACATTTATGAATATCTAGTAATGTATCCACTATATAGCAGTACTTCCCTTTTTTCAATATTTAAATGTTTTAAACGCCCTTTTAAACATATAAAAATTCGTTTTAATTTGGGTTCGAATTGGATACCCCATAGTGTGGGGGATATTCAGTACTACAAATTGTCCTCATATTACTTTGTACTCTAATTTGCAATATTTGGGGAAACGACGGAAGATACTTATTTTTCTAGAGTTATTAATTACTTGTATTTAATAAAAAAAAAATAAAATACATTATTTCTCACTATTGCTCACTGATAAAGTTTTAAAGATTGTACAAGGTAAACATTTGCATGAATGTACCTGTACAATGAATGCCCACCATTAATGTTAAGTGTTGAATGAAAACAGAGAATACAAAATACAATGCATGATGTTCACTCATTGGACTCACTGATGTTGTATAAGTTGTTCTTGTAATCCATCATACTGAATGTTGTGCTTTCGAGTTTGATCGTTTGATCGGACAGAGCACAATGAAGAACAACACATCTTCGGTGGTTGAAATCATTTGCACTCATTCAAAATTGTTGTGTACTCTGAATACGACTTAACACCCATGAATGCGGATGGGAATTCATTGTACGAGTACATTCTTGCAGATGTCTAACACATACCAATACTGTGAGAGAGTAGGGCATATGTGTTTGTGTAGGTTAAGGAATTGTAGCCAAAAAAGTTTCTACAACAAAAGCTTTTCCCAAAACGGAGAACAGAAAAATACATGATACAAATATCATACAAAGTCCTTAATTTTTTGAAAATACCTTTTCCTATTTAATTTCCCCAAGGTGTCATCTTTAAAGGGCTGCCCCAAAAAAACCTTTCTCATTTTACCTTCACATGTCCAGACAATGTAATCAACTTTAATTATTATCCTTCTAGACAACAGCCAAGCATCATCAAATACCATCAAATACTCATTTTCTATTCCTTTTCATTTCATTTATCTTTTTTTCATTCTCTCCAATTCTCTTCTCTGTACCAGGTGCATGTCTGCAGGTCAATAATCAATCAACCAGTCTGGGCAAAAGCAACGACCATTTGCGTATCAACCAGACGGGTACACCCTATCTACTGTATGAGGATGGTGCCATTTGCCAAAAGACATCGGATGGAGGAACTAGAAAATGGTCAACTAAAATAGAATTTGTCTGTGCCAATCGTACGGAGGGTAGCAACAGCAAGGATAAAAATGTTGGTCCGAAAATAATTGAAAATTCCAATTGTCAACTGTTAATCCACTATCAAACTGAGTTGGCTTGCCGTGAGCAAATAAGTTGTAGAGCCAAAGTTTATGTTGATCATTCGGAAGATGGTACCGGTACGGATTTTATTGATTTGTCACCGCTGATTTCGAATACAGATAATTATGAGGCTGAAATTGATGCGGCATTAATTGCACAACATCAACAGCTGACTAAGTCGACTAAGGTAAGATAATAATTAATTGTTTATTTTTCATGGTGAGTTCTATGTTAGGTTTATTAGAGGGATTTTTAAACATTAATACTCCCACAATACCGAATTACATTTATTTTGATTTAAAGTTGGGTCTTTTGACTATTTTAGGAATATACGAAATAACGTATACGCCACAATGTACTCCTCCATTGGAGATTTAAAACTGCAAATGCGGATAATGTGGCGTATACGTTGTGACAACACTTATTCGTTTATTCCTAGAAGACTTTGCTTCAGACAATGATTTATACTAACACCAATTTTTTAATTAATAGCCTGAGAAATTCCGGGAAAATTCATATATTTTTTAAAACATATAATAGTTATTCAGCACGAAGGAACATATTGTCAGGATCTAAATAGATAAATATCACCAACAACAGAAAAGCGAGTTTCTAAATGAAAGGTCTTCTAAAAATCATTCTCCAATCGCTAGTCATAATTGGGCAGTAAAAATGATGATAATATATGTAAGATATGAGATTTCATTAACAGTTCAGCCGTTGGACATAAAGTTCGGTATTGAATTGCGCAGTTACGGGACAAAACATCCATCCGGGAAATATTGACCTAGACCCACCTTTAAGTACACTGATTGTCATATCTCGACTAGCTGAGTCGACGGACGGACACACATGCACCATAGCGGTGCAAATGGACCCTAACTTTTGTGTGAAAAATGATAAAATTTGTATTCTATGGCGTATATATTTACTCCTGAAGGACATAGACCCGAGAAGTTGACAGCATATCCAAGAGGAGTAGTTGACCTTTAAATTGATACCAATTATATTGTAGTATGTACTCGGATGTGGGAGTTAAACTTAAATATTTATAGGTGCTTACGTATTCTGATATTATTTAGTAACCCATTAACATTAGAGGGCAGAAATATAGCGTTGATCACTTTAAAATTTTCCAAGAGGTTCCAGTTATAGGCAAGGACAATGCCTATAATTTTCGGTTGTGAGCACATAAAAAATTTGGGATGAAGTGGTCCGACAACTCAATTTTTTGTGTTTTCCCGAGTCGATATATAGGTCACAAGCCGAGCATCACAACACAGCCCACGGTGAACGGAATCTGGACAAGTAATTAGAAGGGATGTACTGAATATTAGGAATAATCCGAAAATATATCAGTGTAAGGAGGAGGTGCTGTTGATCTATAATCGATCAAGAGGGTCCAAATATCACGATATATTGCCCAAGCTTGAAATAAAAATTCGCAGAAATTTAGAGTTCCTTTGCTATTGTTGTTGTAGCATCCCTATTGTTGGGCTGAGTTGACGGACATTGGCCGAGTTAGACTCGGGTCTTTTCGGAACGTAGACCCCTCTGTCGTGGAAAAATAGAGTTTCTTTGTAGTTGTGTAGGGTGTCGTATGGCCCCGTCCGACTATACTGCTCCGCTCACTGATTATATTATATTAAAAAAAGAAATTGAAAAAAATTAAAATAAATAAATAATTATTGATGTATTCTGATATATATTGGAGAGAGAGGGGGAGAGAGAGAGTCGTATAAGAACTTCCTTCAGCTCGTCTACAAATACCACCATTAGTTCGGGTACAAAGATTCCTTTCGGCTCATCTTTAGAAGGCTTTAGAAGACGCGAGCCTATATGGAGTCTTTATACAGGTGCTTAAGGGAGTCTTTTTGGACAATCTGAGGGCCAGGTAGTCTTTATAGGCGATATAGGGAGATTTCAGCTCATCTTTAAAAGGTGCTATAGAAGACTCTATTCAATGCGTTTAAAGAAAATTCCCTCCATCATGGAGAGACTATTTTTAACTCGCCTATAAAGACTACCTCCCCTTAGATTGGATTTAAAAGACTCTATTAAGCACATTTACAACGACTTTCTATAGTTCGTTTTTAAAAACATCCTAAAGATGTTCTATATAGACTCGATTCAGTTCTTCTATAGAAAAATCCATCAGATAATCTATAAATACACCCTCCAGATGGTATATAAAGTTTCCCTTTAGCAATTCTATGAATACTCTATGTACCTCCTCTAAAAAGGCTCCCTGTTCTCTTAAGACTCGCTGATGGAATAACTGTGTAAAGACTTCCATCAGTTAGTCTATAAAAAAATCTTTCTAGCTGTTCTATATAGACTTCCATCGGTATCTCTATAAAGACTCTCATTAACTCGTATATAAAGACTCGCTTCAGAGCTCCATCGCAGATTTAGATTTCCTCCAACTGGTCTATAAAGACTCCCTTTAGCTTGTCTATAAATATTCCATACCTTCAATCGTCTGTATAGATAGGTAGATTTTTGTATAGCTTTCCTCCCTTTAACTCGTCTATAAAGACTTGCCTCAGTTTTTCCATAAAGACCTCCATGTAGTCCAACAACACCTCTACAAAAACTCCTTTTAGCTCCACATATACATCTATACATATACTAGTCTAAAAAGATATGATTAGTTCCCCTGCTTCCACATAAAATCTTCATAATATTTACTTCTTCAATATGAGATTTTCGATACTGAGCGATATGGGAAATAACATTCTTCTTAGTTTGTATAACGTTTGACAAAGTAACTTTTATAGTTTTCCAATTCTTAGTCTTTTGTATGTCTATTCAAAGTTTCCTTGGCTTTCATACGTCTCATTTGCGACTACAACTCTAAATCCAACTTAAACTACTATTTTATACTTTGCAATTTCTTCCAAATAATGCTCCTATTGAAATCTTTGCCTAATGGTTTAAATCAATGCAAAATTCTTTCAATTCTCTCCGATTCATTATTTCACTCGTAGTACTTTTTGTATCTTTTAACTCCAACTGCCTTCCTTCCTTTCCTTTTAATTATTTGCCTTATATTCACTTGAACATTCATAAATTTATTTTCCTCTTTTTTCTCTTTTCATATTGTATCCTGAATATTTGCCCGATCTCGATGTGTGCGTATGTGCCTGCGTTCATGACAAAAACAACCAACCAACCGGCCATTCATCCAACAAAAAATCCTCAACAGATCTTTCTAAATGTATGCCGACCATTAGTACCCAAATATGCCTTAGGCTGTCCAGGAGGTTCAGCTGCTTGTATGGCGAAAATTGATAAAAATACTGGCAAACCGGAAGAGGAACAGGTATGTCGCAGTAGTAGACACTTTTGTTGTTGTCGTTTTTATATTTTTGTTTACCTTTTCTGAAAAATCCATTCATTCATTTATACAAAACCATGGTCATCACCATCATCATCGTTCTTGTCCACATTGGACACATAAAAACGCATTTCGTCGTTCGCATACGTTTTGGCTTTCAAAAATACTTGAAACGGTCTGTGTCCAGCCAACAAAAAAAAAAATATATAGTGGAAACAAGGGACGTGTAGTACCTCAATCCTAAAGACCATACGACCACCATAATACCTTAAGCCGTTTATCAACACACGTATAGACGTACGTTTTTTCTGCTTTATGCGTGTGTATGTGAGAATGTTCACATATATTGTACAATATGCGTGTGTATGTGTTTGTTTTAAAGATTTTGTTGGGGCGTTTTTTGTTTCGTTTTGTGGACTTGAATTTTTTTCGGGAGTTTGTCAGCAGCAGCAGCAGCAGTAACTAAAGCTTTGTTTAGTTTTCCAGTCGTTTTTCGGGGGTTGTCGTTTTTGAAAAAAATCGGAAAGGTTGTGTGTGTATTTTTTTCCTCTCGTGTACATCTAAAAACCACCACATGAAGAAATATAGGCACATACATATGTATGAGTTCGAGGTTTAGAAGATTTAAAATTCGGATTTGTACATGACCATGAACATTGAATACCACCTGATGTTCTGCTTTAACCCTAAGGACAAACAGTTATTGGCCGTATCATTCACTCAGTCCTTCAGGTGGGATTTCATTTTTTTCGTCCATAAATACTTCCTTCAGCACGTCTACAAAGACTCCCTTCATCTCGTCCATACAGACCTGATCAGCTCGTCTATAAAGACTAACTTTTTCTCGTCTATAAATACACCCTTCAGCTCGTCTGTAAAGATTCCATTCAGCACATCTATAAAGACTCCCTTCAGTTCGTCTGCTGAAGACTCCCCTCAGCTCGTCTGCTGAAGACTCGTCTATAAACACTCCCTCCAGTTCGTCTATAAAGAATCCCTTTAGCTCGTCTATAAAAGCTCCCTCCAACTTGCCTATAAAAAATCTCTCCAACTCGTCTGTAAAGACTCCATCCAACTCGTCTATAAAGACTCCCTCCCGCTCGTCTATAAAGATTTCCTTCCGCTCGTCTATAAAGACTCCCTTCCGCTCGTCTATAAAGACTCCCTTCCGCTCGTCTATAAAGACTCCCTTCCGCTCGTCTATAAAGACTTCCTTCTGCTCGTCTATAAGGACTCCCTTCCGCTCGTCTATAAGGACTCCCTTCCGCTCGTCTATAAGGACTCACTTCCGCTCATCTATAAAGACTCCCTTCCGCTCGTCTATAGAATACTCACTTCAGCACGTCTATAGACTCCCTTCAACTGGTCCATAAAGACTGCCCTTAATTCTTCTATAGGAGACTCCCTTCAGCTCGTCTATAGAAGACTCCCTTCAGCTCGTCTATAAAGATTCCCTTCAGGTGGCCTATAAAGACAATATTCAGCTCGTCCGTAGAAGACTCCCCTCAGCTCTTGCATAACGACTTTCTTCCGATCTTTTATCCTAAAAAACAGTATTCCATGCGCCTTTCCAACTGTTTTCTAATCGATTATTCTCACACATATCTACTTATAACGGATGATGGCAAATGTTGTGCCCCCCACTTCAACTCTATTTATGATATTTATATGTTAAAGTTTTTCCGTAATATATTTTACAACACTGGATCCTCAACAAGGCTTCTCAAAAAATCTCTGAAGCGAAAATGCTGTTTTTTTCATCGCAAAGAATACGAAGTTGGTGTTTTTGCCAAGTCAGCAGAACAACAGTGTCATAAAAACCAAAAACTAGAAAAAAAACACTCAATGATGAAAAGAAGCACACGCTCGTTAACTTGCTACTGCACACAAACTCACACACAAATATACGTTAAAGTATGCCATATGTGTGTGAGTGTGCATATTTTTATGTCGTTATATCTGAAGACGGAAAACTAAGCTTCAACTTAGAGCTCTTAAGTTCAACTTGATTTTATGTTTGTCTGTGTATGTGTGTCTCTGACATGTGTGTGATATATCCGTTTCCTCCGTTTCAAACTTGGAAAATGAAGGAGGAGGAGGACATTTAGTTCTGTGACATCCACAAGCTGTAAAAGAAAGGATTCGCATTGCGGACATTTAAAATGGTCAACGATTTTCGCAACAGAACAGAAGTGATATAAAAACTGATACTGCAATATGGTTGGTGGAAATATGGGAGGGGGAAATATTTTAGCAATGTTTAAACGATATGCCAAGAAATTGGTAATATATTATTTTTCTGTAGTGAAAAATTTCAGTTGGATTTCTCACAATATAGAAAATTCTTTAGACTAGATAGGTTCTGCTTCACTTACTGCTTTTGATGTGAAGACTTTCTAGTTCTTCACCTTGTCCGTAGAAACCTTCAATTGGTCGGAAAATATTATATCCATAAGTTATTCTCACACTTCAGCTCATCTTTCCATAAATTGATCTAAAATATCTTCCTCCAATTCATATATAAAGGCTCCTACATTCAGGACCTCCGCTCACTAAGGAACCTCTACAAGCATGTTTATTACAGCATCTTTCAAATTGTTGTCTTCAAATATTCCATTCAGTGTTTGTATGAAGACTGTAAAGATATCCTGACTCTTCAGATTATCCTTCCATCAGTCAATCTAAAAAGTCTTCATTCGATTCTTCAATAGGGGCTCCCTATCGAACATCTACATAAAATTTCTTCATTTCGTCTAAAGAGACTACATCCAGGTTTTCTCCAAATATTCCCTTCTGTTATTCTCTAAAAACAACCAAATGGTCATCTATAAAGTCTTCCATCCGGTCGTACGTAAATACTTCCTTCAGATCGTCTATGGAGACTCCTTTTAGTTCGTCTATGAAAACTTAATTTTGTACGGTTTAAGACGGTTTAGGATTTCTATGGAAAATCCATTAATATCGTCTAAGGAGGACAACCAGTCCATTAGGCCTTCTTTCAGCACTTCTATAAAAATGCGTCCATTAGGTCTCCCTTCAACTAGTTTATAAAAACTCCTTTCAGTTTCTGTATAAATACGTACGTCAGCTCTTCTATAAAGACTATTTTCAGCTAATCTATATAGATACTACCTTCAGTTTTATAAATACAGATTGCGTATAAAGTTCATGTTTGAAATCTATAAAGACCCTTTTCAGTCTGTATATATATAAAGTGCTTAACTCTAGTTTAGTAAAAACGATCAGATTCTTCTGAACAATTTTCCAGATGTAGATGTTTTTTACCCTAATTATGTGGATATGGGGATTTTCCTGGGGGACGTACCCGGTTATTTGACCGGGAAGTTCGTGTACCACTACCCGGTTATGCCCGGTTCTAGGGATCCGGTTAATATAAAATTAGTATCATTTTAAAGCTTATAAAACTACCTGTCCATTGAGTGGGTTATGTCAACCCGTTCTGGATTTTGGACCCCGATTATTTTGAAAAAAAAACTCCCTAAAAGTCTACGTTGGGTCCATTATGGTCTCTCTCAAATCCTTTCCAAAGTGGTGTGATAAGTGGCTACATCTGTTGTGGATCAAAAAATATCGTGACTATTTTACTAGAGTTGTTCCAAATCAAGAGTCGCCAGTAGCTTAAATTAACCTGACCCTCGAATAGTTCATATATCTTCCTGGACTCTCACACAGTTTATGTGGACTCCATGGGCCCTCAAATTGACTATATAAACGATCCCTGGACCTACTACTCCTCTATATATTGTCCTATAAAAGTTCCTCCAGGCCCTTCAACTTCGCTGTAAATAATCTCTGACCCTACAGCCTCTCTACGTTAAGTCTTCCGGTCCTTTAATTAGTCTACCTTAAGGTCGGTTGAAAATATTCCCAGGCTTTTCAACTCGGCTGTATAGCGACACCTTTACTTCACCTATACAAGTTAAAGTCATAATATAAAGGCTGACTAAAAGTCGCCTATAAAAACTCCATTCAGCCCAGGACACTTCTAAATACTACCTTAATATTAAAACTAACAGTTAGTCCTCAGTTGGTATATATATGAAGCCTATTCAAGTCATCTACGAAGGCTCCCGTCAGTTTATCCGTAAAAAAACTCTTCAGTTCGTCTGCTGAAAGATGCTCCGATTCTTCAGTGCATCTACATAAACAATCCCTAACCCATATTTTCGTTAACATTAAGACTCTCTGACCCATCAAATATACATTTCAGCTTTCTTACTTGTCATACGTGGTGCATACTTTTTGGCGTTCAATTGAGCATTCGTTTCGTTTCGTTTTGCAATACCCTGAATCAGATCGGCTGAGGCTCACTGGCCCATCAAGATGCCTTCGTAGAAATTCACTGCTTCAGCTCATCTACAGTAACATTTAAGTGTTCTATAATTGCAAATGGAATGCGTGGTGCATACTTTTAGGCGTTCCATCAAATATTGTTTCTTTATACAGACCCAACATTATAAGCACGTCTTTAAAGGATTAGGCGTTCTACTGAAATTTGTTTCTTTTCATATAATCCGAATTAAAATACTCCTTGCTACAGCTATTCTAGGACTTCTTTGCACTTAAACGGGTCTACAAAAAAACTAAAATTCATTAATTGAAACACACTTTCAGGTGTTTGTTTCACTCCCCGGCCACTTTACCTGTATAAAGTAATCTGATTTATCTCGTCTATAAACTGCCATTTTTAGCACGTTTATAAAAAATTTAGTTGTGAGCTACTTGCGACTGGATACATTTTTTCCTAAGGATTCATATTTATGTCTATAAATACGTATTTTTAGATAATAGTTTTATTTTACTAATTTATCTAATGCCATGTGTGGTGCATACTTTTAGGCGTTGGCATAAACAATGATTCCTTTCAAATACCAATTCTTATGACGTCTGTCATCTTTTATCTAGTCAGTAAAACACCAGTTAACTAAGGATGATAGGAAATCGTATAGGAATTTTTTAGTAAA